CCCTGATTCTTTGCTTTCAGGTAATATAAACCGTTCTACAAAGGTGGAATCCGTAACTATCCAGTGTCTTTTTGTTAAGAATTAGTATGATGTATTAGTGGTTATTTACATGGAGTATTAGAACTGCTTATTACAACAATCTAATTTCGTCACATAGAAACCCGCAAGGCCTTAAATAAAAATTTGAAGGTGATGAGTTTTCTTCACTAACCACTTTCTTTGAGAGCAACATCAAAACTAACTTTTACACGAAAATGTTAGTGTTTTATACTTTACGTACTTAGAGGTAAAATTAGGTTTGCCTTTTCTTGAAATGCAAGTCGTGTAGATTAACGCCAACAAAGTAGCACGAATTGTTGGATTTCAGTTGAGTAAATAATCAAAAATGCTCTAAGGTTTGGTTCAAAATACTTTCCTTTTGGGAGAAATCAGCTCCAACTAATTATTTTTCATAGCCTAAGCTTTCCATTCCTGATATCGAGAAATTCAACTCATCTATAAATTCGCCAGACTTTGAAATACAAAAGATCTGAATCATTTAAACAATCTGGGAGTACGTATTTAGAGGTGCAGAACTTACCCAAGTAGGGAATTGTATTCGAGGCCGACGGCGTCGACAATGTGAGGAATTTCATCTGAATACAAAAGCCCGATAAGATGTTCATCCCTGCATAAGAAGAGCACAATTTCAGCTCAAAATGACTCCCAACTCGTCTGTGTCTATGCATTGAATTGCCAGTCCAATTTCACCTTGCTGTATAATTGTATGCTAAACTGAAAGATTGGCCACTGTGCATTAATTTGTTTTCGTAGGCAACACAAGACTGAATGGTTGGCACCACTGCGAGGCTTGAATCAAACAAAAACTACTAGCGAAATCTCTCAAGAACCCATTTAGCCCTCAATTTTGTGAGTATCACTGATCCTCGCTTACAATGTCAGTGCAAAAGTCCATGCGGCATGAAATATGGAAGATCACGTGCCATGTTTGGCAGAACTTGATTCTTGGAAGAGACATCACCACTCACCAAGCATCATCCTCGCAGGATTTTGAGGAGGCAACCAAAAGGTCACCAGATTGAGCACTGCTAGTAAAATGCATGGGAGAACGAGCAGATAGGCGTAAAAGTCCGGGTTGCGCTTCAATCTGTGTTCGAAAGGAGCGAGGTATCAGTGCAGTAGGAATTGAGCAAGAAGTAATTTGTATTTCTTAAACACATGCATACAAAAGAATAGTTCTGGACACTTGTCAACGTCAACGTGGAGTTCCTCTCCATTTAATTATGGTGAGCAAGAAATATACTGCTAATTTTAAACTACTACAAAATGGTGATAAAATCACTTCCTTAATTGAGGATGATGCACTGCTCCGTGTGAATCATGGACCTACACGAAGAAGAATATGAGGTTAGGGGAGGGCTCATCGCAACACGTCTGTCGAAAGAATCGGCGAACTGCGGGATACGCCACAATGTGCCACTCGTTGCTCTCCTGGTAATCGTCGAGCAGAGCACTTTTAATCCCATCCAAAAAGGTGAGATTCAGTCTCCGACCGTTCAACGTCCAAGACGCGAACCGAAGATAGCAGATCTGGTGATCGAATGGGAAGTGCTCCATCTGAATACGACACATGGATTTGTAGATGGACGGTGGACTCCAGAAGATCTGACCCGTGTAGTCCACGGTGAGCATCACCTCGCGTAACTCGACCAGACGCTCGTCAGCACTGAAAAGTTACGAAAAAAAGCGCGATGCTACTTAACCTTTGTAAGTAAAAGAAGCGGGGCACTATTTGCGGCATACTAGTTGAGGAGGACTATGTCGGGTGTCCAGACGTGCTTCACAGGGATTCGGACGTGCTTCACTTCGTTGTAATTTTTTGGATTCCATGTCAAAATCTCATCTCGCCATGCCTAAAATGCCGTCAAAATATCATTAAACAAAGCAATTTCTTGGTAATATTCGAGAGGATGAAATGATTCATCATTTTTATATACCTGCTACGAACCATCACTTACTTAATTAGTTATTTATTTTTTACCATTTCTGAGTAAATGGGTTTACTTTCCGGCATGTTTATTTCACAATGCCTAATGTACGAATATGTTTTTAGCTTTAAAATCCCCACCATTTCTTATTTAAAACTGAAAATAGGTAACTTTGGAATACCAATCTTCCCCTGCCCTTACCCAAAATGCGATAATATTTCAGTGTATATTTACTATTTTTTTGATTGTGCACCTAACTGCGTGTGCACTTGAGTCTCAGCAGATCGTGCCTCCGCTAGGTCACCTTGGTAATCTCCCAAATCTTCGACACGTTAGTAATGCATGCTCGTCCACAGTATTTTGCCCTGTCACGACTTCAGGGAAGACTCAGGACGATACCCAAAGTTAAACCTAAGTACACAATTTTGTGGAGAACTCACAAATTTGTTCCAGACATTCACCGTGAACATTTGATCAGCCTCATCGAGGTCCATGAGTTGGAACAGCGAGAGTCCAAATTGCACATTCAACGTCTGGCTGTTGTTCATCACCGGTCTCCCGATTTTACCCAGTCTCTCGTACTTCTCCAGCAACTGCTTGATCAATGTCCTCTCAAAGGACTGAAATTTGAAGTCTACAAGGCAGAGGTATTTCTTCTGTGGGACAATTTGTTTTGCCTCACCCAAAATAACGGTTGTAAATTTAGATTAAAATTCATGAAAAGGAAAGGTGGAAATTGTGCACAGTTTTCAGGCCTATAAAATGGAAAGCGATTAATCCCCCATTACCTTTGTCGCCTGCGTTGCAGGAGTCAAAGTTGCCTGATAAAATGAAGATCACTGTGGCCAAGATAAGCTTCATCGGTGCCTCGGCTGTAAGGAAGGAAAGTTGCCTTCACTCACTTGTTGGTTAAGCAATCCTCGGGGACCAAGTAGTGCCATATTCTTAAGCAATATTTTAAAAGCCCCCAGGATAGCCACTTGTCATTGTACCAAACTTATTTAACCATTTCTCATGTTCAGTTAGTGGCCAAGTAGTTTACGTTACAATAAACTGTAAGTAATATCCTCTGCTTCACAGATTTTTAGATTGTTTAGCTAGACAGCTAGGTAAGGATGCGTCGAAATACTTTTGCTGAAATGACAGTTTCGTTAGAGGGCGTTCTGCCCCAAAACAAGCCTAGCTTAATAGATGCTCGTTCCCTCGGTGAGTGACAGGCGGTGAAACAAGCCCCGGTGACCTTCTTTGGCTAAAATTGAGGTGGCACCATTCACTGATGCTCTCGGACTTTTAAAGTAGGAGAAAATGGTGTACCTCACCTCCGTAACTCCTACTAAATAGTAATTTAAGCCAAAATCCAAAAGATGCCGCTACAAATTTTGCTAACAGATATGAAGTGTAGAGTTGATGGGGAATGTGCGACTAAATACTTTGCAAAATAAAAGGCGAATCGTTTCACCAGAAAATCTGTAAATTAGAGAATGCATCGTACCAGCTCCCTTCTAGACTAGAAATTTACCATTGTTCCGATATGAAAGACCTCGGAATTAGCTTTTTTTTGAAATTCATCAAAAAATTGGCAATGTTAGGGGAATTTAGTCAGCTGCAATAAAGTTAATCAGTTGGCTCACCCATAGCTCTTGGGATAAAAATAACGACGTTTTACAGCTGGAAACTCCACCTCCGTCCAGCGGGCATCACAGCAGGCAAATTTGTGACGATGCCAAGGGGAGGCATGAATTGTTGTCGATCCCTCCTGCCGACGCCCCTCATTGGTCCATTGTTCGACCTTCTACGGGGTGTGGAGAGCCAATCAGCTGACGCCTCGCGCCTAGCGAATGGTAGAGTGAATACCTAACCCCTCCAATGGGCATCTAGTGGACTTGAGTACTGTTCACCCTCGCGACCAACGCTTTCAAATGACGCGCAGTTCATGTAACTTGGATAACTCTCGACCTTGAGACATGTTTCCTCGACGTAAATATCGACAATTGTAAATTGGCAAATTTGGATTTTTTGGGACTAAATTTAATCGCCATGGTCTCACCAGAAGAGAGGGAAGTTGAATTAATAATACCTTTTACTTTGTTGTCTTTTTACAGCGAACGTACCCTAAAAGTAAATGTGTTTTTATAGGCCTATTAACTTTAGGGAGAACTTAATCGGTAAAGCACGGGATGCAGAGTAAGTACCTCCACAGAGTTACGTTTGGTACTTCTTCCCAGCTCTACTTAACCGCCTATTTAGGTGATACCCATTTTGGGGGCGATTGAAGGTGGTCAATTATTCATCAAACACTCATAGGGCAACATATTCATTTACACATGAAGGGGATGTCATCAAAGAGCATTTCCAGTGTGTTAAAACCTCACCTCGCCTCGTCACTTGCCGTTATGCAGAAATGGAGATTGCTATAGTTGACAAAGTTCTCGAGATTTCAGTAGTACCTTCGATGTTACTCTCTGTTGACTAAGCTATCCTCAGTAGACGCTTTCTGTAGTGTTTGCGTACGGTTTTCAGTGCACGAAATTAGAATCGCTAACGTCTTGGGGTCGACTTGACTATTGCAGGCAATAATTAGACGGTTCTAGTCATCCCCAAGAGCGCTATAAGGCGAATCAATCATGAATTTGGCTTTTTACTAGCGTATAGAAGCACTGAGAGTCGGTTAATGTCGGTGACGCAATTAGGATACCAAGCCGCCAGCGTCGCGGTCGAGTCGCAGACCAAAGAGCCCGCGCAGTTTGGTGAACACATTAAAACAAACTGCGTTATCATGGCATTGCAGAAAAGCACCGCAATTGTGGCAGAATACTATCTTTGTTGCCACAGTGCATCTACTTTGCCGCCGTTGCGACAGTCAGAAAGGCCAAGGCCGGCGTCCAGAACCACCTACACAGACATCACGTGAACCTTCGGCCTACCACGCTGCAGCTCGCAGTACCACACCATCACAACACCGCGTTTTCTCGTTACCAATGCCCAATAACATTCTCAACAATTGCTAAAGCGTCAAAGAACCCCGGTATGGTTAATCCTTCTGGCTGTGATGTCCACCCCACCTCCCAGGGAAATGGGGTCACAAAGCATGGCAAATGATCGATTTAAGGGGAATTACGGTTAGTTCTGACGCCCACCACTTGATTCCAGTAAGAAAACTATGGTTCGATAGACCATCAAATCATTCATTAACTAGTCCATAACCCCTTTAGCCGAAAAATGACCATGACTTAATGTTGCATCTTCACATGAAATTGGGAATTCCGACTGACTTCCCCGATTATTTGTAGCTGTTGCCTACCCCTATCGAGCATGCTGACAGTAAAACAGGTGATAAAGCATATTCCCCAGCTCCGTTTCTTACAAAAATAATCAGAACACTTCATAGGTTCAAAAATTCATCAAGCAGAAAATTTTGTTTTGCTTTAATGGAGGAAATAAAGGAAGCCATAGTCCTAGCTCCCCATCGTCGTCGAAACAAATGCCTCAATACATTTCTGTTTGAAAAAATACAAGGCAACTAAGTTGTACAAATGACTACCTAATGCACATAAACACAATTAGCAGCCTCTTTAGCGAGCAAATTTACAGATTCTTCAATAAGGCAACAAACATCATTCTTGATTACGCTAGATTGCAAAAGCCTTTCGGAAGCTGCTCGCGATTGACTCATAAGCGAAGCGGCCAAAGACCTATAAAGCTCAGCGACTGTAGCGAAATCCCTCGAGGACGCCCAACAAACATCCGCCAAGGTCGGTTCTGGAAGGCCGCTTTCAGTAAAGCCAAGAGAAGTCAATGACTTTGGACTTTCCGAAGCATCGATTTCCAACTGGGAAAATGAGGTGGATGAATGATTAACTTGTGAAGAAGGGATAAAAATCCATCTTATACAAATCCTACCTGAGCTTCATTGACAAATTTTACCTCCTCCACAAGCCGAGTAAGACAGCCCCAGGCACTTCCAAAATTGCGGGCGCTTTGAAGCAACGAGTTGGAAATTGCCGCAGAAGGCGAATTTAAGACCACTGTTGCTGCACAACACTCACCAAGCAGAGCACCGCGCCTTAATGTTATGTGCTCAAGCCACTGCTTTGATAGAGTGGCAAGCTCTGAATTTGAGTCGGGTGATACCGTCATAAGATCGGAAAACTCTGCCCGCGTAGCGTCCGCTATTGCACTAGACACCATCTCCACAATCTGTTGTGGAGTAAAACATCTGAGATAACACTAGAACAAAGACTAGAGCTTAACTAGTGGGTGGAATAAAACATGCCTTTGGTACACGAAAGGAGGCCAGGTTAAGTGACGCTGTAGCTAATAAGATATCACCAGAAAGAACGGCAAGTTTGTTCCCTGACTCCATATTTTCGAGCCAAGTAGGGTTACTAGCTAATTTGGAGGGTGGAGTTGATAGATCCACTACGGTTCTACAAAAAGCAGAAATGCATAATCTAACAAAGTCATTCAAACCTATGGAGGGCCATAGCCAAGTTTATAATCGCTAAACTTTCCCCCATCTTTCTATGAAGACTCAGCAATTCGGAATCAGGCTGACTGAGGATGCATTGACCGACCATAGGTATGAGCATGCTTTGAGGGAATTGATGTGCATATTTGTTGCTGGAAAAGCGGCCAGTCCACATAAAGGGCTTCAGAAAGCTGTTAGGGGTGTTTCGAAGCTGTGCATAGAGTACGTGAACGATTTTGTGATCAGTTGTGGAGGAAAGTTTACGAGCTCGTTCCACGAGGAAGGTTGATTCAGACCCACCTAGAAGAGAAAGATCAAATGCGGGCGCCCGACCCCCAAGAAGACCCTCAGCACGCATGATAATCGACTTCCAACTCATTTCAATCTAAAGCCTGGGAAGGTTTTGTGCAGAAAGGAGATGACTTTGGGATGGGTTTCTCGGCAGCAATAGGGACTGCAAGTCGTACTCAACACGAGTGATTTTCTCGAGTGGATTTTGTTGATTGGGGTCCAAAGTGGCACCCAATTCGGGTTCGGATGTTGGCAAGATGTCGGTGTTTACCTGTATATCCTCAAATGGCAAGATATCAAGAACCCAATCTGAATCAACGACCTCAAGAAAGACACCCTCGGCTGTATACTGGCTATCCAGCATCAGTATGAACAAGTGGGCTGGATGTTAACATCTAGCAAACGATTAATGCAACTGCCTTCTGGGTTTTTTAATAACTCCAGTGCTTAGAAAAAATACCATAGTAGATAACAAATTATAGGTCTATTAGAAATAAGTTTTAGACCCAGCTTATTTCAAATGGTTTTAATGAAAAAGGAGGTTATAGGTCAACAAGAAATCAGTAGTGGGCACCAATAATGCAAAAAATACCGATAGGTAGATCAACAAAACTCTTTATGACTGTAATTTAAAGCTTGTTTTAAATACTGAATCAAGTTAAATGAATGCAATAACTAAATTTGTATTTTTAATGTCAAAAGCACTATTTGCAGAAATAAAAGTACAGCACTTCCCCAAAATTTCAACTATTAAGCCAAAACAATCTTATAAAATAGAAATCAGTTTTATCTTAAGTAACCGGAGTTTTATAATGGTTATAATACTTTGAATGTTCGTTTAATGGTCTGTTTTGCTGAGGGACCACTTTTGGCCTGGCCAGTGTACCTCCCCGGCATACTTGCCGAGTCAGTGGCCCGAGTACCTTCTGTATGTTAAAAATATGTATATTCCGTTTGAGTATTATGTCTTCTTTCGTGTTCAGGGAAGTCTCGGGACGCTGTATTGGTGGCGGCGGAAGGCAAACCCCATCTTAAAGGACATCTATCCTGGTTTCCCCTGCTCTGGGGGGCAAACCTTAGCGGGCAGAAGAAGTGCATTTGCTCTGGATGCGAGAGTCAGCTATGGTCCCAAAGGGGAGGATTAAGATCACCTTAGTCTTGTATTCTGCAGGAAAGCTATTAAAAACGAAGTAACACTGGACGTGAACCATCTGGATTAGTTTCGTTACAAACTTTCCTTACCATACCTTCATAAAGTTGTCGATACAGTAAACTTGCGATTCCTCTTCCTCTTCTCTACTAACTGATTAGAGCCCGGGTAGATATAACTGGGTCGCTTCAATGTGAGAACAGCTTGGCAAGGTGGAACAGGCGCAAAACCCTACCCCACGAACTTGTGTTAAATCCCGTCCTTCCTCACATAAATCTACTCATAAGCCGGTGTTCCTACATCTCTCTATGAACACGCATGATAGTCAGCACAATTCTTTGTCCCCGAATCCAGTTTTCGGACCGGACAAAACTCCGGATGCAGTTGAATTGCCAAGATGGATCAGTGAAGTTGCGGTCAAGTACCGCCTCAGTTGCATAGAAATTTGGTTGCTGGCACGCCGGTCCTTGGGTATTTCCTCATAGCATCGACTACGTCGTGATGCTGACGTGGAAGATTGTCCAAGGGGAGCGCTGAGGACGACTCCCAAAAGAGGATAGTGGCCATGTAATACGGTGGTTGCTCAACTCTCAGATTTGGTGAAGAACCACCTTGTCTTGGCCATTGTACCCCGAGTACATATGTTCTGTCCCAGTATTGCCTCCTCTCGTCTTCAGAGAAGTCTCGGGCGCTGCAACGGTATTTATTCCTCAAAATTTTACTTTGTTTGGTTTTTATCAACATAGTATGGTTTATCTTGGTACCTGGCTCATCCATCAAATACTCGTTCTCACCCTTTAAAATACTGTTGAAATGTTTATTTTTCATAATCTTGCATAAATCACAAATGTTCCACTTTTTTAGCTCATAAATTTTGATCATTTATCTTATGCTATCACCGCAATAAGTTCCTTCTTGGCCACGAACAAAAGACACTTCTTTATTGTAAAATAAATGAACTGCCTGCGATCGCTGGCCCTTCTGTCGATTTCGTGCCAAGTCTCAAATGTATTAGTTAAGTTGCGTCACTAATATCTCCACTTCGCCACCAGGACCATCGCTTTCCCATCATCCGTTTTCGATGATGAGGCCTGCTACTGAATGCATGATCAGTAACGCCTGAGACGCCCACCTCAAATTACAGCACAAAACAGCGTCGTGGTAGCACACGTCTCACTGCGCGAGAATTAAGACTCCAGGTTCTGCTTGGCCCCATCTAGACACTTCCACGTTACAGGTCAAAATAGCCACAGCAAATCTCCCTGACTCATTACCACAACCGACCAGCTACAGACACCCACTGAGTTTGGAATTAGAAAAAAATACGAAAATGCACAAACGATTTTTCACGTTAGGAAGTCGTCTAAAAATCATTGTCAAAAGCCTTCTTGGCTTTGTTGAGTTCTTCACTGAGTAGGAGGAGTTCCTTCGCCCGCGAAAACTTTCGTGGATCAGAGCGCACTAGGTAGGCGATGTCCTCTACCGTTATTTTGCCCACTCGACCAATCTCCATTGATCTACGTGTCTACAGGGAAAAAATCAGATCCACTGCGGGGGTGTCCGGATTTTTAACAAAACAACAAACCCCAATCGGGCTTCATCCTAACTGGGAAAATAATGGAAATTTCCATGCAACTTGTTGTTAATTGGCCACTTGAGGGCCATGTCTGAATGACCATGAAGTGGCCAATAATGATGGCGCACCGAATCATTACACAGTACCCATTATCAGCTCTCGTGACATAAGTGGTCCAAATTTCCCTGATAAATGCTGGAAAATACCTACCATGTCGAGAATGTATTGCACCGCGATCTCTTCAACCATAGCAACCGTTTCTGGTAGAGGATTTTCCACATCGCCAAAGCCGTACAACATTGCGCGGACTAAAAGCGCAAAAAGAGAAGCCTTCTGCGATTACAAAACTTTGGATAGACTATCACATTATCAAATATGAAGAGAGTACTGTCTTTCAAAAAGAGATGCTTCTTTTTGTCACCACTCCCACTGGCATCCTGGTCACCATCGACGCCAAAAATCTAGTAAAAATGCAATGCTTAATAAGAATGTCACAAATATACAGGCATCATTAACAGGAAAGGTGTTTAAAAGGCGAAAGTGCCGGTTGACAGCTTAAATGAATCGAAGGAGATCAGGAGACTCACATCCGACGATGGTAACTCGGAGTTGGCCATTCTAAAATGAAACGCTGACTTGTTAAATCGATCATCGAACCTCTTACCCTCCAAAAGGAAAACAATTCGACAATTATTCTATGACTTCCGATTATGAGAAGCCGCTGATTAGACACGTTATTTGATCATTGATCTGAAGTAATTTATATTAGTTCTAGCAATCTCGGTAGCATGCTGCCTGGTAGAAAATGGACATTTTAAATCCGCCTATGGGCATTCGGTCAGCAATCACGCAAAGAAGAAAAGACTTGCGAACAAAGAGTTTATTTTATGGGAAACATCTCGCCTTAAAAACATGGAATAAAAAGTAATTGAGGTTTGTCGGCATTTATGGGACAACTGCACCGCCCTACTCTAGGAACAAACCTACTTTGATTGCTAAAGCATACGCACAGAATAACTAAATTTATCATCATAACCTCTTTTAAATCAAGCGCACTTTTTGTTACCACCATTCACTGTTCAAAGCCATCAAAGAGCGCTGCCCACCTACTTATTTAGATAAGTAGTGCAAGGAACCGCCAAATCTATGGTCGCCCAACACCGAGGAGAGTAAAAATCATCAACCGGAGAGGCAGCAACCGATTAACCTTACCAGGTACACTAGATAGGCAGTTTATTACAGTCAGAAAAAAGAGAGTAAGGTATGTCTATAATGCATAGATGTAGCAGATCGGAAGGAAGATGAGACATGGGAAGGAGAGAACGAAGAGCCTAGGCTTAGGGATGCCTAAACAGAAAACAAAATAATTGAATTTTCGCCTTTTGGTAGACAAGAAGTAAGTCGACACCTAGAGAGATTTGAGGTACCTAAAAGGTAAGGTGAATAGCGTGAAACGAAATCGCCTATGTACGATGGTAAGAGGAAAACGCACTTGGCGGACCAATCAGGTTTGGAGGGAAGAAAGGGAGCTGATTGCAGTTGTGCGGAGGCCGAGGTATTTGTTGCGGACTTTTGTTTTTGTGTGCTGATGCTGCCACCAACAAAATCATTACAGACAACGGTATCTGCATCCGAGGCATGTGATCCTGAAAAAAAAACGATTAATCAGTGAAGGTTTGAATGCGATTAGATGGAGAGGAAGCGAAAAAAACAAAATCACTGAACCGGTCTTAAATTGAGTTGAAAAAGACCCGCCACAGGCTTCGGAACATGGATGTCCGCGAGACCCGAAGTTATTGAAGGAGAAAACAGTTCTTTGACAGACGACGCCTAGATTTGGTGGTGGTTGTGGTGGCGGTGCAGGTGGACAAGACTTCGTCTCCAAAACCGTCCACGAAGTCGAGTTGTGAACTAACGATTTACTCGAATGGTTGAGTGCTGAAGTCAAACCTGTCGCTACAAAAACAGAAAGTGCTATCAGAAGTAACACTCGAATAAGGAAAGGGTTCGAGTACAAAAAGTAATAATCTAAAAACATTCTTTAACAGGAACCGAAAGAATCGAAAAAGGACGAAACAAAAAACCCACCTCGAACAGCATTAGCAAGCACGTTTTGCCCATTAGCAGCAGGAAGATTGTTGATGAGGTTTGCACGTCGCTTCGCCGCCTCATTAACTTCTAGGGAGTAAGAACAACTGCTCCCCGAAACATCAATCGTGGCGGTCCCAGTGGAGGCAGCATAGAAGGTTCTTGAAGGTGTAAATCGACTACCGCCTTCAACTGCGCCTGAAGCTTGAGCATGTCGAGGTCTAAAGAGGACAAAAAAAAATGGAGTCGACCTTTTTATTATCATCAAAGAAGCAATAAACTAGAACAATGAACTCAATAACCGCCTCCTTGGGGTTATCATCATTCCGTTTCGTGTTTCAAATCGGCACGTCGATTGGATGACAACCTTGTGGGTAAAAGTTATCAAGCCGGATAATTTGGTTTATGCTGATTCTGTTTGTGGAAGAGGAATGCAGCTCCAAAGCCAAGTTTTGACACTTCGATTTGTAGGTTTGGTGATTGCTAAACTCTGCCATGGTTGTCAGCATCCACGACCTGCTGTTTTGAGAATCAAGTGGTTTATTGTGGCTTAAGTAGCTCAACTATTACACTAATTAATTAGGCGAACCCTTTAGTCTCCGTGGGTTGTACCTCCACTCGGCAGCATGGCTCTCTGGCCATGTCTGTGGTCACCCAGACCTTCTGTTCATTACTAATAAATCTTCTTCCAGAAGGTTTTAGGAAAGACTCAAAACCGATTGGCGAATTCTAACTTTCCAGAATAGAGGCATTCATTTTGGGCTGGCTGGAACTGTGGAGACCCACAAAAAAGTATTACTAAAACCCCATCCACTTCCGATAGTCATTCCAGTCTCTTTTTCTGTAGGAAAGAGCAATCTACAACTAAAGCAAAGTCTATTGTGGAGCTGGCTACAGTTGCTACTAGCTGAAATGAGAACCGAAGTGGCGGAGAGGAGTAGATGCACAATAGTAGCTGCTTTAAATTTTGTCTTTGATTCAATGGCTCTGCTTCTGGATAAATGTGCCCACATATAGTGGTAGGCATATGATATGCATTCGTTGAACGGCACCGTCCAGACTTGAGTACTTCAATGCCAGTGAATTCACCTCCTCCAATGCAGTTCACAAAGAAGACAAAACACCAGGTACAACCAAATCGGCATGGCGTATCACAGGTAATGGGTGCAAATATCTTTTTGCCTCCACGAAAATGACTGCCACTTCTGACTCGTGAGTGCTTGGAGGACGGCGACTACGTGATGGCTCATTATTTTGAAGATGGAAAAAAACAACTGGATTTGGGGACCATAAACTCTAACAGACTACTTCTAATTTGTATGAGAAAGGCTGTGGTTGGATTGGAGTAAACTAAAGCCGCAGGTGTCCATGGGTTTGCCAGGGAAAATGAACTATAATGAACACATTTATTCATGGAGCATTTGTGTGTTGCCACAGACTTCAAAGAACCTTCAAGTTATCATGAATTCATTCAATCTTGTAATATTTTCACGTGAGAAAAGTATGATCAGGGAAGTTGTGAGCCTCTTCACTCACCTAGAAGACTGCTCCTCAGTATCGCTTTTGATAATCGAAATCGCAGGCCGCTGCAGCTTAGGTCGTGGAGGGGGCATCCGACAATAATGGCTGTGATGGATGTGGTGACAGTTATGGCTGTAGCCGAGGATGCCTTTTCGCCTTTGGGATGCAGCTTCACCGCCACCAGCACCACCACCACCAAAAGCGAGCGACTGTCGACCAGGGAATTGGCGAAAAGGCAGCGATTGTGACGGCATTTGAGGCTGGGCCAGAACATGGAAGAACTCCCTCTCCAACTCGTCTGCAATGTTGATTTTGGCCACCGGTTTAAAGTGACGGTTGGGTACGTGGGTGTGAGTGACCCCGAGTTCGCCAATCTTTTGCGGGCAGTACTGATTTAGTTGAGACACGGACAAAAATGACAATGGATTACGTGTGCCTCATCAATCTTGGGCTGTTACGACATATGCACCTACACTTGGGCAGAAATCAAAATCGTAATTGTTAGACTTGATTAACGATAACTAGGTTGACATCAAATAATAAGTAGAAGAAGCTGTCGTCATTTGTATTTGGCCAAAGCTTGGTAGTGAAGACTTACAATAAAATGCACTTTAAAAGTGGAATTTGCGCTCTTAATTTTTTAGGTATGATTTAGGCGATTTCCGTATCGACAATAAGCATGGAGTAAATCGTTTTGACGGCGATTCGGAGTCGGACCCGATATGACTATTCTGAAGGTGGAATGTAACAGGTATCAAATCAATGGATATTAAATTCCAAGCTAGTGAGATATTAGTTGGTTAAAGTTTGCACCATAAAAAGCTAAAAAAGATCAACAAAACCATGAACGTGCCGATTTTCCAAAAGAACTTGACCCAATCATGACAGCTCTAGAAAGAGTGAAGAGGAGAGGTCAGCCCTTCGCAAAGGAAAGGACAATTCCACTGATTAGCTAATAATATGCGCAATAAAAACATTCCAAAACTGAAAAAGTTAATTACTTACATGTTTACTGCGCACGCGCTTGTCCTTGTTAGTGGCATAAGTAGAAGGTTGCAGTCCATTGAAGAGTGGATGGGAGGTGTGTCGGTTTGGCGATATTTTGTCAAGATGGTTCATCTGCGTTGTCGCGCCGCTCGACCTGCCGTTGGTCGCAACAACAGCTTCTGGGCGCTTCTCCTGATCCTATGCACAAAATAAATACAGGTTCCATAAAGTGGCCAGAAGTTTGATCTTACTGCAACCATCTTTAAACCCTCAACATATCAGACGCATTCACTCAGCTTCTAACACGGAATCATTTATGTTCATGAGCCACCACTGGGGCCCTGATGACAACACTCAAAACATGGCGGGGACTAGTTAGCAAAAAGGAAGTTCACCCCAACTGGGTGAAAATTTTCAATCTTCCAAGTTCAGGTCTCCATATCGGTGGTATAAGTCACTACAGCCAAGCTTCTGGTATCTCAGACTATCTGCACACTACTTCTAGATTCGCGGGACTCATAGTCTTCATTGGCAACTCGGACGCTGCATAAGCAGTAGTGCGGTGGAATATGCCTAACATCATTCATCGCTAGCATGATCGCCCCCGCTAATGCTTAAAGGAATGTTCATGCCAAGATTTCAGTCGCACTAACTGCTAATTTCTTAAACGGTAGATAAGTCATGCTTCTTAAACATATTGCACCGACAGTTACACAGACGCACATTAGAAATGTCAGTAGCTTTCCATCGGCTGTACAGACTGTTGCGAAGGTGTTTTGCGGCGTCCATATTGGAGATAGTAGAAGCAGGAGAAGGAGTGATCATTCCGGTCCTATTTCGGTCGCTGTGGAAGATGGATGTTTGCGAAGAGGCCTCAGATGCGACAATGAGTTGTTGACTACGCCCACCACCATTGATGCCGACGTACATTGAAAAAGGTACTGTCAGGTGATTTTGCAAAACTGGTGATAGAAAAAGGATAGAAATGAATGTGTAAAACTCTTTCGGAAAAGTCCAATCAATGTCAGCATACTAGCTCATGGATATAAAAGAAACACGCAGATTTCTACATCATCTATCATCTTCAAAGATGGCCAAACCACTCGCGCATCTACCTATCAAACACCTTTGTATTCACCTATTTATTAGCATCCACGGCTACAAAGAACGCACAATAGACAATCTGGTGGTATGTTGGTAGGCATCCCTGTGTTTCTTTGATCTAAGGGAACGGTATTCAGTTTTATCAATTTTGCTATTTGACTACGAACGGCAGTTGTGCTTGTTGTTGCAATTGTCAGCTAAATCGTCTGATGTTTAACGAATCATAAAAATCATGTCATAAAGAGAGTTAGGTTTATGTGATAAAAAATCATCGGATTTATTTAAAACAAAGTGATCGCTATATCGGTAATTTTTGTCACGCATAAAACCCAACAACAAGTGGGAGGTCTTGCTTTGGATAAAAAACAATACAATACTCAAAGCAAATTCAACCAAGATTGAATAAAAGAATGAATCCCTCTCCGGCAATTTTAAGCGTCAATAATTGTGAATGGGCATTACTGAAAGGGACGAGATCTCTTTGCTTCAATCAGTAAGACCATCCACAGACACAGACCTAAGTGCCACAGGTAAGAAACTCTCCGTGGAACTAAGTGGAACATACTGCTGATAAAACTGTTGTGGGAGCTAACAATAAGGCAAACAGGCGGAAAGCGTCCACAGCTGATGCGGGAAATGTTAATACCAACGCCCTCACCATTCTTGTCTCTGACCTCCAAACTCCTTCGACAAGCGGAAACGGCGGTATCGGAGACAAACGTTTCAAAGAGTCCACTCGAAGTGGTTGATACGGGACCCGTTGCAGCCTTAGATATTGGGCGAGTAGGAGCAATGTTCTCCGTCTCACTGTTCGACCGCTTGACCATGTCAGGAACAACGAAGAACTTGCTTTTTAGGGCCTTGGAAGGGATCACGTAAACGGATAGGCATAACAATTCCCTTTAGAATGTTTTAGATTACAATGTAGACCTATGGGGCTTTGCGATTGGCAAAAAACGCCTAAATACCTTTTATAGAACAGTACATTAGGTGCAAATTTGGTTCAGTGCATTCAAACTGACCTATGCATGATAGATCTATTCAGCTAAATAGAGTATTTTGTGCAAAAAACTAATAATCACAAAGAATTTTAGAGAGCATCGACAGAAGTCGAAAAGATCCCAACTTACAGCACGAGCCGTCGGTCGTTTCTTCGGGTTCCACGAGATCAACTCGCCGATCAGCTGCAAGGCGGCCGTGCTGGCATTAAAAATAATGTTGCTCAGTCGAGTAGGAGGGCACTTAGGAAACCTGAAATTCATCGCACTCGCCAGCCTGTAACCCTCTGGCCAGTCTTGCTACAAAACAGCAGACCAAGGTGCATACTACTAAATATGCATTACCAGTAGTTAAGTGATGAGAAAGATAAATGGAAGCTACCTGCAGCGGAGTGCCAAGAACAGTGCAAATTCTAAAGAGCATGTCTATTTCTGAGTCGCCGGGAAAAAGGGGTTTCAGAGTAAACAGCTCCGACATGATACAACCGACTGCGAAGAGATCGATAGGTGAATTGTATGTTTGTGAACGTAAAAGGATTTCCGGAGCTCGATACCTACAAAAAAATTCGGTAAATGAGTCAGAATTATTGTAAAACCAACCACCGAGTGGAGACGTAGTCTGTAAAAGGTGGCTGGGAGCGAATTTCTCGAGCTAAACCAAAGTCCGCCAACTTGACAATATCGACACCGGAGCAGAGGAGATTTTCTGGCTTCAGATCGCGATGAAAGTAACCTTCACAACAAAAAATTGGTAAACTCTTATAACTGAACTACTCGAATAAAACTAATTGGAATCTGGGTGTTTGAGATACCGAGAATAAGCTGTCCGACTTTGAGGGGAGTATTTAATAAATAAAAACAAAAGCCACATATTAACAGGAACGCTAGGGAAATATACCTTGTTTATGCATGTACGCAAGTCCATCCAAGACTTGTCGGGTGATTTTACGAACTGAGTCTTCAGAAAATAATTTTTTTCTATAAAATATTTTGCTGAGAGCCGACTGTGATGGCATTATAAACTATGAACGAAGAACACAATGAAGAGGTTAATTGATGCACAGATAAGAAAAAAATCCACTAGACACCTGCGTTTCATCATTTCATACAAATTTTCTTTCATATATTCAAATACAAAGAAGAGTTCATCCTTTTCGCGAATGACTTCTTTCAGTTTTATTATACAAGGGTGCTCAAGGCGTTTCAAGGTCTTGAATGAAAAATCAACAAACAGAAAAGTTAGTGACAGCTCAGAATGTTAGCAAATCAAGGTACCTTTGGAAAATTCACAACAAAGTGTGGATCACTTGTCCAAACTAATAACGGCTGAGATTAATAAAACAAATTGGCAAAAACGAAGGCAGCAGTAACGTCCAAAAATTGTGCATAGAGGATTACCCGGAAGCAAAATACTGAAAGTGAGATTACCTTAACTTCCCGAAGACTTAAGCATTCAGACCACGAGCGATACTTTTTTTTCATTCTAGAAAATACTTCATGAGTAAAATTGAACTACTTTTTAATAGCAAACTTCTCCTTGGAATCGATGGAAGTGGCTAGCAAAACGGATCCATATGTACCATCCCCTAACTGTCGTGTTAAATGATAGCGATTCATATTGCCTATCCGCACACTTTTATTTTACGACATTCGAGTGCCTCACAATTTTGCACACAGATACAACTAAGCCGGCAAGGTCATCACGCATTGTTTTTACTGGTGACAACTATTAAAATATTGTAAAGTTTACATTATAGAAAACAAAATGCTGTCTCACTAGTGCTGTTGATATGCCAATACACTGCGCAAAGTACAATAACATACCTCGGTGTACAACATGAGGAATATAAGTGACACCATTGATTCAAGTCGAGCATGTTGATAAAATCCTGTTTTTCCAATCTTGCTCTTGCTAATATTATTTTCGAGCTTCACAGGACTGCCATTCATTTGTTGAAGAATTCAGTTCCTTCCAATAATGGGTTTTCCTAGTATTTTTCCCTGAATCTCAAAATTTTTCATTTCACAAATATGCAAAAATACCCGAAATGTTTCCTACACTCCCCAAAATAACATGACAAATTCTTCCTTCCGAACTTCCGTTGATCACCCACCAGTTTTATGATAATATGCCGCATTCATCCACTAATCCTGCAAATTTTCTACATGAGTTGCACCCACGCGGCCTTATAAAAACCACAGACGCGTCAGTCTATTACTGCCTAATCACACGCGACCGCACTGTGCCACCCACCTGTGGGAGCAATCCCTCCCGAGCACAGCCCCACACAACCCGCCGTGGAACTTGGACGCACCACACCCCCAACGAGCAATGTACCGTTGGTGGCATGGTGTAAGCCGTCTCCCGAGTCGCAGGTATGAATTACTTTCCAGTCGGAATGATTGACCCCAGGTAGCTAGCAGGACCCCATCACCCCAAGGCGCAAGATTGGCAGACCTCAGGAGGCGAAAACCCAACCCTCCATGAGGATGAGGCTTTGTCACCATCACCCATACGCATCCAATCTGACTCTGAAGAAAAGAAAGCGGCGATACTCAATAGCAAGCAAGTTGGTGCGCAGCATCTGACAGAAAGGGGTGGGAAGAGACAGAGGGACAGAGCGAGGCACCGCGGAAGAGGAGACAGCGATTGAGAGACAGTTAAACCAGCACTGACGCCGCCTCACCTTGTCTCCAAAAGGGTAAAATGAATGACTGGTAGGGAGACTTGGGAGAGCATCACAAAACGGTACGCAATCTGGTCGTTGTGGTTGTGATAACGCAAAAGAGGAATCAACTGCGTGGTTTGAATGACCGGGACGAAGGTGTAAGCACTTTTTTGGAAGGGGGGAAAAGAAGTAGGTGGATTGACGTATTTTCACCTAAGTAGTATCCATTTTCTCCCCTGCCTCGTCGTCCTTTCTACTATCCTCGTCACTCCCCTCCGCCTTTCTTGGCGTTTCCCCAATGGAGGTAGAGGAAGATTCAGTTTGTTTTTTCTCGGCACCTAGGGATTCCTGCAACGCCGAGGCGAACGCCTCCAAATCTAAGAGGAAATGACCGTTTTATGATAAAGTGAATGAGTAGAGTTAATTCGTTTTTTACAAACCCGAAACCTACCACCAGTGCCGGCGGCCTTGCAGACTTCCTCACCGAGACCGAATTGGGAAAGAGCCGGACCCAGTTGACCCGATTCTAAGGCCTCCGAAAACGACTACAAGGGAAGAAACGGAGGGGTACCTCTAAGTGAGGATGCCAGACTTCTTCGGGTTCAGAAAAGTAATAAGATTTCCCTCAATTTAACCTTAAATGAAGGCACAAATCGCATATGTGGGGAACAAACAATGCCAGAAATAGGATCAAGCCATTTCAGGCTAGGGCAGGGTAGAATTTCATCATCGTCAATTAAATGGCAAATTGTAATCCCTTGATAGGAGAGCGCGATAAACGTCGTCCGTCAATCCAACCCTAGATATACAACTTCATCCAATTCCGCTAGCCTTTCAATTTACTTCGAATGACCCCATAATGTCGAAACAGCGATCATGTCAAACCTTGCCGATGGGGTACATACGTCCACTCGCATTGCGGCATCTTAAGAGGGAAATCACTTGTCAGAGCGGAGTTCTCTATCTACACTGCCGCATTTAATCACTGTGCGCTCGTCCACCAGTCAAAAATTTTGCAAGCTCATTAAGTCAATCGCGAAGCAACACCGTTTTTCCACGAAGAAACTGGCATTTGTTTTGCTCGCATACAATCCGACGTAAGGCGAAATTCAACCCAGTGGTACGGTACTACCTCCCATGGTGCCGGTCTCTCAGCCCTTCTCCACACTAATAAGTCACGCCCTATAACCTTCCCGAAATGATTTGAACGCCGCATTGAGGTACTTCACGGCTTCACGGAAAGTTTTCAGCCATGCGCATATCAATTAGGTACAGGAAATGTTTTAAAAAATGCTTCTGCCAGTCAATCCCCTGAACAAATGTAGGGGTATGTGAAACCGATGTAAATGGAAACGCCAGCATCGGCACCAGTGTGGACTGTCACCTCCAGATGCGTAAACGAACAAAACAAAAAAAATACGAGTGGGTTCTGACTCACTTTGAGAGCATACTTGAATTGGGGTGAGCGGACATTGGCGATGACGGCCTGGCTGGGAGTGAGCTGCTGGTCTTCGGGGTCGATGGGCGGAAGGTGGGCAGCCAGACGCTCCGCCAGCGCGGGCTCCTTGTCCATCACTTCCGTCACGGTGTCCACACTCAGACCCTGAGTCATGTCGACATGCCTCTCCGATTCTGGTAAGTTGATTAAGGATGGAAGATTACAGAGGAGCAAAGTAATCCATTATAGGAGCTAATTAGTTCGAAAATTTCTGCCCATCAAAGGAAACAGCATCTATGATGGCAGAAGTGAAGGAGTGAATCGGACAGTTCCATTACCTGGGTGATGACAACGCCTTATGAGAAATCCAAAAAGCAGAAAAGGACCGTATCATGAATTTAGTGGAAGAATGATGATTTGCATTCTAGAGGAGGTTCGACACCCGTAAAAATATATATAAGAGTAAATGTTGAGTGGAAATGAGGAATTCGTTTCCAGTGACTTTGCAAAAGACTGAGCACAGACGTGTTTCAGATCAGAATCTGAAAAGCATAGAATCAACAAATTCAAATTCTGCTACTTCCGTGAGGGGACGGTTTCAACTTTAACGGAACACGGTTACAATTTTAAACATGAGTCAAATCGGTGAGAGGGTGCAAATCAGTGGGATGTAGAATGGCGTAATTGTCATTATGTAAGGTCATGTATTAGTCTAACGCGTTACTATTTGGGTGTCATCACAGCGACTACGCTTTCAGCTTCCGGTAGATGAGTTGTCGGTAAGCAATCGCATATTGGCAAAAAAAATCACAAAACAAACGATTATCTAACTATCAATGCGGCTATCCACCGGTAAAACGAAAATGGAAGAAGCAAAATATTGTAAGGGAATTGTGTGGTACTCGTGCGGAAGAGGATATAACACACAAAACTTTAGGTGCGGTAAACGTATCAAGCAAATGGAATCTGGCATTCACTCCAAGGGTGATCGAAATTGCCATCGAAATCCATTTTGCAATTGCAACTACAAATCTCATGAATCAAATGGGAAGAAAGGCATGGATACACATATGTAGCCTTTATTTGCAAGATGGCTAACAAAACAACCACAAGGAAATGGGTCGGCAGTGGGATTAGCGCTCTGGACAGGACACCGCATCAAAGTGCGCATCATGTGGTCCGCTTCCATTGTAACGCCCACAACGTCATCTGTCGGAATAAATTTACCGGGTGCAAGACTCCTCTTTTCACCCAACTGCACGACCCAATGCTCCATCTTTTTTTCGTAAGAAATAAACACATGTATATTTCCTTCACCAGCAAAGAACTAACAAAAGTGAAAATGCAACCTGAACGACACCATTAACTGACGACTTCATCCAATAAACAGATTGCCCCGTATTCATAACGCGGACATTTGGCCCAGTTTTGCGGTTACTGCAATTCGGGATAAACTGAACCGAAAATTAACGACCCTATCCCAGTCCCCATTAGTGAAAACAAAACTGGTAAATCTACTACCGGAAGGACGTCATTCATCAAATGTAGTTAGCAGTGCAGCTACTACGCCTCTTCGTTGGTTGGTGCCTCATCAGAGGACACTATCTTCAAATGGTATGAAGAAGCCACGATTTTAGCGGGGACGCAAAAAACTAAAAGGAACTACGAACCAGCCATCTTTTGAACATATCACCCAAACTGTGTTGGTGATGGCCCGGCGGTGCGTCCTTTGATTCTCGGAGTGAAACAGGCACTCATAAACACTAGCACAACTTGCTTCACTCATTGAAATAAATGCCACAAAACTGACCAAGCTCGCACCTGATTGAATGATGGCAACGCCACAATGCATCTAGCTCTACAAGAGGAGCTTTTGAACTAATGTTAAATATCAATTCAATGAAACTGAAAATGCAGAGACGTGATTTCACCTAACATCTGAATTGACCGCCCACCTCCCCGAACCACACCAACTACTCAACATATCTTCGGCACCAAATCGCGGGCTAGAGGTGAATTAGGAAGTTTGCTGTTGTTGTTGAATATGATGATGGTGGGGATGCAAACACCGTTTCACCAGTGAAGAGAAAAATAACATTGACTTTTGAAAAGACGTCAATCGACAATTCCACTCAATTTTGCATCCTTGCCAAATCGCCTCTCTGGTTGGCGCATCTAACGAACTTGACATGAATGGTCCCTATGATCGGTCTAGCACCACTACTGCCGCTGCACACAAAGGAGAGCGTGTTGATTATTTTTGCACAGGCTACCCCTTCTTTGTCACTAAAAAGCGTCCAAAACTCACTGTCTTCGGTCTCAGCTCAGGAAACAGGGACAAGTACAACCGTAAATCAACCGTTCCATCCAACAATCCATAAGCATCAAATAATGGCAGAAACTATGTAAGCAACTGCATTAACTGATAGAAACAGGTATTCACAGCCGAATAAGGATGAAAAAGCCTAAATAGAGTTAAGGCGTGCAGAAGGTTGTTTAACATTGTTCGAACATTTGATCTAGCTTTTCTGGAATGAATTTGTGATTCAGAGCCAACTAACCGATCCATTGATAAATTCGCTCAATGATTGCAAGCGTAAAGGAGTGAGACAGAGTTTTCTCTGACGAGCTCGTTCACTAGCAAAAACCCTTAAATCACTGCTCGGTCATTTAGAGTACACCTATCGCGCAGTCACAATCTTTGAGAAGGAAATCGTGAACTGGAGGACAGACCAAACATAAATTAGCGATCTCATGACAGTTATACTAATGAAAAAAAGCTCTTCAAAAGGCCTATTCGATGACAATTCCGCCCAGTTTCTCTCCATCCCGAAGGTCTTGAAGACCAAAACAATAATCCACGCGAGATGTACTACTATTATATGCTGCAACCGTCTCCCGATTAAGTGACTTTGTGGATATTTAGTCCAGCTTTTGCGCCAAAACGCAAACTAGAGGCCAATGATAAACTACGAACAAGCAAGTGTCATCTTTCCACCGTCCCATGACAATGACACAGGGTTCCTGATTGACCACAAAAAAGGGGGGCGGCTTACGATCAGAGGTGGTAGCCGATTGAATGGTGGAGAGGATGGAATGGAGATCTTGGAGACGAAGTTTGCCCTAAAGTCAAAGCAAAATCGAGAATCGCAGAATGCCAAAAGCGAGAACAAGCGGTCAATTGATAGGCAAAGGATGCCAGTAATGACTCACAGGTTGGTTATCTACGGTGGACGAGGAGGAGCCGGCAGCAGCCGGAGCAGAATTGGAGGCGGGGATAGCAGGAACGGAGCTCGAGGAGGCGGTGTGCATAGCCGGCGCTTCCACTCGACTGGAGAAAGGAAGGCGACCCGTCGGTACCGGCAAAGCTTGTGCCGAACTAACAATAGATAGTATGAGTAAGCTACCGACGTAGACACAGCATGACTGCCTCAGAAGCTAAATTATGGCGCCCACAGCTTCAAATCTTACGCACTTCCAAAAACTTTGTTGACGTCTGGAAGCTGCACTTGGGTCGAAGTTACACCCTCGTTCAGTATACGTAAGAGCAACAGATTTCAAGCGAACAGTTGAGGATTTGAAAACAAACATGAATAGCGTAATTCCATTAAGTGCTGCAGATAAACACAACAGCAGCATGGATTCCTACCAAATTCACATTCCACAGTGACAAAGAGGAGAAAAATCTGACTTTCTAAAGCGTTACGCCTGAGTTACCTTAGTTTCAGACCGCTCACAGTGACGGCCTCGATTTTTTTTAATTATGCTACGCAGATACCGATTGAGCACATATTTTCCGACACGGTAGCTCAAGAGGTATAAAATTGCCACCTTAGGCATTATCAGGTTCTTTAAAGAGTATATCTTCACTAGTACCCGAATTGGGTTTTTCAGAAACCTACAAGGCGCATAGATTTGGGGTTTTAGGACAACTCCCATGCAGCCCTGGGATGTGTATCCAACTGACCCTTTACTGATTAATTTCGTGTTTCCGTGACCGTAATTAAAAAAAGGAAGAAATGTCGTTGATTTTTGAAAGGAAGTATTAATCCTGTGAACGGTGAAAAACACCTGCAGGTAACAACAATGCCTGAGTAAGGAAGATATTCGAATCTTGCAAGGCGGAAAGTCCGTGGATTTGCATTTCTCAAAGATTACCAAGTTTGAAATTTTGCTTTTACGCCACTTGAGTTCAAGCAACCTGAGCTCAAAGAGCGCAGACTTTGCCTCAAGAGCCGTCTCACATCTAACAGTACGACGGAAAGTCGGAATTTTTGACGTTCCAAAGGCTATGGATAAGTATCTAAATGTCCATCAAAGTTACAAGGTACTTTAATGCGAATACGAAGACTCCATAGGCAAATTAGAGGAAAACCAACAAAAGATGTATGCAAATTAGAATGTTCGCTGAAAGATGAAACAATTTTTGGTCATTGTAAAACCACGTTTTTATGAATAAAAATCGGAAGGGCGATAACTTTCACTCTAATTGACACCAATCCAACTTTATGATTCGAACACAACACAAAACAACAAACATGGCTGAAAATCGTGATCCTCGTATTCATATAAACCGATATCTAAGCGTAATATTATGTGCAACTTCGAACATTACCAAATCTTACAAAGTAGACAATTGCGAGGAGATTTGGCAATTAAAATTTAGTGAAGGTTTAACAGCTTTTCAAAGTAAAGACTGGCAATAAAAAGCCTGAAACGTCCCAGATTTCGCCAAAAAATGAATACCTATTAACCTAAATTAGCAGAATTAATACATTGGTCACCAAGGTCTCAGAGGAGAGTCGACCATCACATCCACCCAGATGCTTCCTCGTTCTAATAATAATATCAATTGGCGTTATCAACTTTTCCCAAATTTGATTCTAGCCAAAAAAAAGCAAAAAATAGGTAAGTATCCTAAGACTAAGAGGATTCTGTATCCAGTGCATATTCAACCAACTTGTTCACATGAAGCTATTGTGTGCAGCCACAACTATCGCAGACTGATCGGGGATAAATTTCGCAGGTATGTCGGACTCAAATAAGACTGCAAGAACATCACAGAAACGTAATACGTACAGCGAACGCGTTAAAAACCTAAAACAAAGGCTAACGTTGCTAAGTTAATCAAGGTTGTAAACGCCATTTTACCAGAGCGAAGAATTAAAAAATCAAGTAATGTACCTTTCACCATCTGAAGGCATTCCAAATCCCATGCCCATGGAGAAAAGAGTGAGCAGATCGTTCTGATTTATACCAGAGAGGCCACGCATTCCACTGAAAAAGTCAGCCATGCGTCCAGCGGAGCGCGAAGAGACCAAACTTCCAGCAACTGAGCTGCCGATGGGTGCGGGTGGGGTGTTGATGAACTTGTTGACCGTTTCGCAGATTTGAGCGTCGTTGTTGGCGTTGGGTTCCTGCATCCATAAGAAGAAGCGCCGCTGCGGCGCACTCAACTTGAGCACAAACACCCGACCCGATTTGCACTGTGGCACGGGCTTGAACTCTGCCTCGCGTGGTACCAGGACAAAGTTCTCCTCAATGAGGCCAGTACGGCGGTCGAACCAGCAGAAATGGACGCTGTAGTCGCCAGAGGTCTGGTAGAGATAGGCGCACCCCTTACGCGCGTCTGCGTGTACACTGTTATCCGGATTCATGGTCATCTTGCCCGCCTTGAACTGGAGCAGTGGGCGAGCCTGCGGTTTTGACGGCTGGCGATCAAACAATCCGGTGCTCATTCTTGACCGCCAACTGGATTCTAGCTTATCGAGGAAGATCAATGGATTAAAAAGTTGGGCTTTTAAGTTCACTCACCCCTTTTACATAATGAGAACTTAGAAAGAAAGCCTAACTGTATTTACAACCACACCTAGTTTTTTATACATTGGGACCCCAGTAGTCTCTATGTGAACGTTATGATATCCAATTCAGCAACCGACGCCACTTGAGAGCTTAAAAGTCTGAAGTTGCTACTTTTGGTCTTCAATTTGCTCTAACTTTAGTGAGAGCTACGGCGTTCCCATAGGGTTTCCCGGAACGGGGGCCCCAAATTCATCGGATCAGTTCCATCACTACCTCTACATATGAATCTATAAATGGCTAAATTTTAAATGCACCAATTGTCGGCCTGTAAGGCTGGTGGCAATGTGTCTTTGTTCCAATCATAGGAGCAATCAGCGAAGTTCACAAGCACTTGAGATGTGATTTAAGAAAATATACTTCAACGGCTTATTACTTTACGAAGAAGTACAACCTAACTGTCTTGCACAGCAAATAAAATACAGCAGGAAACACAACTTTACCTATATGAATACTCAGCACATTCGTTTAATGGCCTGTTACAAGAATAGGTAACTAAGAGTGCTGTAGTAATGACACTATATCCCAACGATATAAATATGGCATTAACTTTCCGTCAGCAATAGAAATGCATACAAAGAAAATTTGCAATTTCGGCTACGGACCTACGTTCATTAAAGCCAGTACACATTATTGAGGAACTCCTATGCACATAAAGGCATAAACGAGAACTAACATGGTTGGGAAACGACTAAAATGGTACGTTACATGGTGCTGAATAGGATTCGACCTTTCAAAGCGCAAAACTTCCAAAATGCAAAGATGGATCACGTGACTTATGTGTTAACGAGGAAAAGGAGTAAAACGAAGCTGACAAACAGGTAACAAGTGGTAGAGATATGGATTTTAGTTAGGTGTAAAAACCGGTGTACAAAATACTATTTACGCGAAAAATCCAAACTACAGTTCCAGAAGCACTGGTTTTAGTCCTAAGTGAAACCAGCTAAAAAACACTAGGCAAACACGGTAATTTTGGCTATCAAAAGCAAAATATGAGCATAGTTTTCAATACAATTTGCGCAACGAAAAACAACCGATCGTAGACACTGGCTCACACCAGCATGCTAAAGTGGCGACAAGTAAGCAGCCAACTAGTGTTGACTACTAGAGGAAGTACATAATGCAGACACAAAAATGACAAAGCCGGGAATGAATCCATAAGTGGGCAAAGTACTCAAACACGCAAAGCACAAATGCAGATTAATTTAAAGAACAACAAATTTAAAGACAGCAAACAAGTTCATAGATCATGAACATACAAAAACAAATTATTGCCGCGACAAAGCCGAGAAACACAAAGTGATGCTGAAGAATCAGGGAACTCCGCGTGAGCCCCAAATCAACGCGAATGAAACGAAAGACGCCCTAAATAACGAAAAGTGATTGGCTAAGATGATCAGGTCATTTTGTTTTACCAATTTAATATGTAATAAATAGAAATGTTCATAGCTGTTTTTAGGCAGCTGAGAAATGAATGTCCAGGGAAAGCTTATTTATCGAAATGTGAAGCCCCTGCCAGCGCCTAGAAAATAAAATTCGCTTCGAATTCCTTGTACCTTCCAGAATCGCACATTTGTGGTACCAATTTAACTACCTTTTATATGGTGCTTTTCTCATCATATCTATATATCGGATTCTAAAATGTGGGAGGCATTTTACTAGCCTCTTACTCCTGCTTAATCCATTCTAGTGCAAATTAACATGTCGTGAATAAAGTGATAAAACTAACGGAGGCAGTGTCTTAAGTGGAAGATTGATATCGTAATGAAATCTTTTATGGCAGGTAACTTTTATGGCTCTACTTTGTTCCACCTTGCCATCTCAGCAACCACTTATAAAAAAAGGAAATTCGCTCTCATCCTCCTAAGCAACCAATATTGGGATAGAGCTCCATTATGGTGTGTCGGATTGTTCTTTGTGGACTCTGGTGAATGTACATTCTTCTCTTTTTTCCCTTTTGCTGGTCGTGCACTCAACCAAACGTATCCGGCTGACCTGTCTAGTACTCTCACTTAGTACCTGAATTGGAAAGTTTCCCGCAGTTCCCAAGATACACTTAGGAAACCTCGCCAGATTTACTGAGGTAACATCTGCTGGCTTGTACGTTTGACAGCCATACAGCAAACCCACCACTTCTAAAATGCCCAGTAGTTTTAACCTTAACAAATTCACCCCAAGATATTTATGAGTAGCATCCCTCTATGAAATACACATGCCTTAGCATTGGCACAACTTGCCTCCTCACGTTAGAAAACAAAGCCCACGGTAGGATAGCAATGAAATAATCATTGTTCAGTTTTACATTCAGGTGCTTAACTAAAATAACGAATCAGGTGCCAA